AAAAAAAAAAAAAAAAAAAAAAATTTTTTTTATTTTGAGACAGGGTCTCACTAAGTCACTAAGTTGTGCTGGGATTTTAGGTTGTGGGGCAGGCAGGATACCAGTGTTTAGGGTGAGAAAGGGGAAGTGAGTTCACCGAGAGGTGGTGGTGAGACCTGCTGCCTTCTACAGCCAACAGCTGGTGAGCCCTGTGGGTGTGCCGCTATCCTAACGAGCCTGCAGTCCATACATCCTCTTTATTTGTGGGATGGAGGTGTGTGCCAGTCTAGTGATAGCAACACCCTCACGGGCTCACACTCAGCCCCACTGCCCCAAAAGAGGGCAAGGAATGAGAGCTACAGAGGAAAGGGTTCCAGATACAGAGATTCAGACACAGCCGCCACCAGTGCTGCTGTTCTCTGGACTGCGGCATGGACCTTTGCCTGCCATGGAGAAACCCTTCCTGGTGTCCCCAGCATGTGTGCTTGGGCGGGGCTGCGCTCTTCTCAGACCCCAGCTCTACACATTCCCTGAGCAGTGTCCTGCATGAGACTAAGCGCTTGCACTGGCCAAAGTACCCACTCACGCCCACAGTGAGAGGCTTGTAGGGACTCTTTATGGAAATTCCCCTTTAGGACACTTTGGCTCTAATTTGGCTGAAGCACAAGTAGTCCACGAGGCGCAGAATCTCCTCTCGCTCTCACAGAAACCCCACAAGAGCTCCCACGGCCACCTCCCCAGCGATAACCTGTGAAGCAGCAGGGGGCAGCTGGACTTCATATCTGATGTCCCTGCCGGAGCCTTTGCCCACAGACCAGCCAAGCCCCACACATCCCAGGGGCCAGGCCCTTTGCCCAGGGAGACTGGACTTCTTTTTTTTTTTTTTTTTTCCAGTACCAGGAATTGAACTCATGACCTTGCACTTGCCAGGCAGGCACTGTGCCGCTGAGCTAGCCCCCGAGACTGGACTTTTTGAGGGGACAGCTAGAATTTTGGCAAGGATAATAAGTGAAAAATTGGCAATATTATTGTAACAGTTCTAATTCTACTAATTTCTTCACACCCTCTGTGTTGAAATGAAAGTTAATGAAAAATTAATCCAGGGTACCATTATCTTTCAAAGAGATAAACAGGTTTTTTAAAAAGTTGGAATTAACAACTCTTAATTATGAAATAACCCACTTAGAAGCACTATTTTTTCAGAAAAGTTTCAAAGGGGGAAAAAAGTCTAATTTTACTGCTTCTTCTATCATATGCTCTAGACTCAAAGGAAATGGGTTTTTATGGCTTGGAAATGTGAAAAATTCCCAACAGGCTGGCCCTGATGGGTGGCTCTGGCCTCAGGCAGGCCCCAGCAGGTCTCACAGGCATGTGGCAGAGCTGGGAGGGGCCAGGCCTGCATTCAGACAGTGCCTCACACTGTGCAGAGATAGATACAGCAGTCACTCTGAGCTTGGCAGGCCAGCCTTGACCAAGCAGGGTGGGTTTGTAGCTCTGGTAGTGGATAATGGTAGTATCCAAGGTGGGACCCGCAAGACGAGGCATTACGGCTGCCTGTCCACACTCTGCCACAGCAATGGCGGGCCGTCTGCAACAATAGCACTGACAGGCAGAGCTATGAGAGAAGGGGTCATGGGAGCTGGTTCCTCCTTTGGCTGCCAATAGGGGCAGGAAAACAAAGGGTCTGAGCTGGGAGGAGAAGGACCAGGACACCCATCAGCTTTGCTTTCAGGCCCATAGAGCCCACCAGACCCAGCACAAGCAAGGGTAGTCCTGGCCAAGGAGGCAGCAACATGGAGACAGAAGGAGAATGTGGGGAGCTGAAGAAGGGGGAATGCTGCCAGTGGAGAGGTAGAAGCTTTGGGGCCCAAGAAAGCCAGAGCCAAGCAGTTAATAAGGAGCTTAGACTGGAACCCAGACACCTCACCTACAGTCAGTATGTGACTGGAGCATTTTTGTTTGGGCCGATTCAGCGCTCCCTGTGGCCTGGCCCCACCAGGGCTATCAAAGGGAGTCTCAGGAATAGTTATGCTCCTGAAAAGAGATAGTTTTCTCTCCCCTTCATGCACACACACTTAGGGAGAAAATGTAGACTGAGAGGTCTCTGGGCACAAGGGGTCCTTCGGACCAGGCCAGGTCAGGTGTCCACTAGGGATCACAGTCCCTGTTATGGGTTGTATCTAGATGTCCCCCCAAAGCTTCATGCAGTCATGGGGCAGCCTTCTAGAGTTTATGATTGATTCATGGCCCAAGGCTAGTATTATCGATATGAGTGCTACACTCACCCTGGGGTAGGTATTCCCACAATATAAGGGAGGGAGGCCAGGCATGGTGGCGCATGCCTGTAATCTCAGCACTTGGGAGGCTGAGGCAGGAGGATTGCTGCCAGTTCAAGACCAGCCTGGGCTACAAAGTGAGTTCAAGGCCAGCCTGAACTGTATAGCAAGACCCTGTCTCAAAAAGAACCTCCCCCGCTTAAAAAAAA